CATTGTATTTTGTAACATGTAGTAGCAGTGTTGCACCCTGGCCCTTCTTACTCGTTCCATTTGTTCTGATCTCTTTTGGACTTTTGGATGCAAAGAATCCATAGATCAGGGCCATGGTCAAATCCTTCCATACCCTCTGACTTAGGAGCAAGAAGTTTGGAATGGCGCAGTCCAGATCAAGACTATACATAGTCATGATCCGAGCAGACTTTGCAGACGCAGGGGAGGTTGATGGGTTGGCACACCTGGTGACAGAAGTTCTTCCTTCACAACTTCGGGGCACCACAGTCAGTGAGGTCATGGAGTATGTGAAGTCTGTGCCATTGGGAGGGCTGAGGTACCCACCGCAATCCAAGGACTGGTTTGCCAAGGGTGTTCTTTGAGCCTACCGTACCGCTACCTTTTCAGTTCGGGCCTCCACAAATCCACATTGGACATTTCTGGGCCCAGGCCCAGGCCCTGGCAAGGAACCCTGGAATATTTCACACCTGGTCCACCTGGTTTTATAAATAGTTCCAAATAGTTCCACACTGATTTTATAAATAGTTCCAATTCATTTTTTAATAAGGCCTTTCTTTCAGGCCCCCTTCGATGGCCCCCGCTTGTTCCCTGTCCGCCATCCCTTGTGGCCCTCTCCAGCCCCTTCCACGTGCTCCTACGAGCCCTGAGGATGGCTGCCAGACAGGACCTGGAAAATTGAAGGAACAGGCCATTCTGGATCAGTGGCAGGTGAAGAAGGGCAAGGGGTACTGCTCCACTGCCCCACAGGATGAACTATGGCGCCTCAACACCCGTGAGAAGACTGTTTTGGATGTCCATCACAAGATTCTGAAGGCACCTGAGCTGTTTAGGGGCAGGGCAGGGAAGAGACCATAAAGGACACGGGCGAGTTCTGGTCCATGGTCCATAGTTCACATTTCACTAGACAGGACTGGACTGGACTGTATGCAAACACCAAACACTCGCTCGCTCAGATTCAGACAGCAGAGTTGTTTGCCACATCATTCTTTTCAATTTCTTTCTATGTTTTGAAGTCTGGTTCCTACCTACTCGACTCAGCTCAGCGCTCTAGGCTCGGCTCTAGTTACTTTAATTTTGACAAATTTTACTGGAATTACTACTACTACTGCTACTACTTTAGTTTTTTAGAACACCCCCTGAGACGAAAACCAAGTACAAATTACCTATACTGACTAATTTCACATTTCATATTATCATAAATCATATGAATGTTTTTTTACTATCACTTTTTTAACATTTTAAAAGTCGGTCAATCTATAAATAGTTCGGAACCGTTCGGAACCGTTCAGAACCAATTATAGAAACCACCGTTTATAGATAGTTCGGAACCGTTCAGAACCGTTCTGAACTATTTATAAACAAAAGTTATAAATAGTTCGGAACCGTTCGGAACCGTTCTGAACTATTTGTAAAAAAAATCTAATATAGTTCCATATAGTTCCATATAGTTCCGGTTTTACAAATAGTTCGGAACCGTTCGGAACCGTTCTGAACTACTTTTAAAACTTTGCTTTACAAATAGTTCGGAACCGTTCAGAACCGTTCAGAACTATTTATAAAACACTTGACTTGTAACTTATAACATATTTTTAAAAATATTGTAATATAAGAAAGTTATATATTATATAATTACTATTACATGTTATCCAATCTATTTACTTTATACTACTACTACTACTACTACTACTACTACTACTACTACTACTACTACTACTACTACTACTACTACT